CCAAGGACATAACTAGCATCCCCTAAGTCTTTCATGGAGAAGTTCTCGCTCAACCACGTCTTTACAGAAGTGAGAGCGGGAATATCGTTACCCATTAACAATATGTCATCGACATATAAGATTAGGAATACTATTACACTCCCACTGACCTTCTTGTATACACAAGATTCGTCAGAGTTCTTCTTGAAACCAAAACTGGAAATGGTTTCGTCGAAACGTATGTACCAACTCCGAGATGCTTGTTTCAATCCGTAGATTGAACGTTGCAGTTTACAAACTTTGGCAGACTGACCAGCAATTTGAAAACCGTCAAGCTGTGTCATGAAGACATCCTCTTTGAGGTTCCCGTTAAGGAAAGCCGTCTTGACGTCCATCTGCCAAATTTCGTAATCGTAATAGGCTGCAATCGCAAGCATTATCCGAATGGATTTCAACATAACAACTAGAGAAAAGGTTTCATCATAGTCAATTCCGTGGATTTCCTATAACCTTTTGCTACCAATCGAGCTTTGAAGGTATGAACCTTCCCGTCTACATCTGTCTTCTTTTTGAAGACCCACTTGCATCCAATGGGTTTTACCCCTTCAGGCGCATCAACCAAGGTCCAGACTTGGTTTGTGTACATAGACTCCATTTCAGATTTCATGGCTTCGAGCCATAGATCAGATTCGGGGCATGTAATTGCCTCGAGGTAGGTCTCTGGTTCGCCTTGATCTACCAACAAGACGTCACCTTCATCAGACATGAGAAATCCATATCTGACCGGAGGATGACGTATCCGGTCTGACCTACGTGGTATATCTTGAGCAATTTGAGGTTCAATTGCTTGATCTCTTTGCTCATGTTCCAGCACTATCGGGACTTCTTCTTGTGGTTCTCGAATTTCTTCGAGGTCTACCTTTCTCCCACTAGTGATAGTAGAAAGAAACTCCTTCTCAAGGAAGGTTCCATTCCAAGCAACAAAAAATTTGTTATCAGATGGATGATAGAACTCATACCCTCTAGTTTCCTTGAGGTATCCCACAAAAATTACTTTATCAGATTTAGTCTCCAACTTACTAGACGTCATGAGACGTTTTACATAAGCTTCATAGCCCCAAATCTTAAAGTACGAGAAACTCAGTTTTCTCCCATGCCATAGTTCGTATGGTGTGCTCTCGACAACTTTAGATGGAACTCTGTTGAGTGTGTGTGTTGCTGTTTTCAATGCATATCCCCAAAATGATTCTGGCAATGTTGTCAGACTAATCATGCTCCGGACCATTTCTAGCAAAGTCCGATTTCTCCTCTCAGACATGTTAGAATAAGTGCCCTTCACTAGAGGGGGTGAATAGTGAGGCACGAGAATGTTTATAAATTTTCGCGGAATAAAAATCGCAGGGATAAAGTAAAGAGCAGAATAAAAAGGAGTAAAGGGAGCACACCAAGATTTACCCTGGTTCACCACAACTTGTGGCTAATCCAGCCTCCCGAGAGACTCTCTCGAGCTACACTACTTCCGTTAAGCTTACGGGTGCTTAACAAACCGTTACAACCTGAGAACTCGAATCCCACGAGCCTCAATACACTTGCTCGGAGATACCACACTCCAAGACTTCAACCCGAAGGAAAATACCTTTCCTTCGTACAACCAAGGGAAACAAGCTTCCCTAAACGTGTTTACAACACTAAGAACACTCAAGAACAAGACTCTCTTTAAGAGTAGATGTTGAGTAAACTATATACGCTCAAGAACAACTCAAACTTCACAAATTGGCTCTAGAAAGCTATGGAAAATAATGTTGTTTGGATGCAATGATAATATGAATAAAGTGAAGTGAATTGATGTGTAAAGCAGACCCAAACACCCCTTTTTATAGTGCCAAAA